TTCTCTAGCTTCTTACAAGTCTGGTTGTAATATTGATGACGAGAAAGGGTCAGGAGGCTTTTCTTGATCTTTCTACCCATTTTTTCCGATATTTGTATCCCTTCTGTTTTCTGGATCTATAAATATGGCTAGCTTTTGTGATTAATAAATGAAGGCAAATTTTGTGATTAAGACAAATGTCCCTTTTTCCTCCCTCAGATTGATAGCAGAAATAGTTTGCTTGAAATTTGTCATCTTTGGCTGTTCTCACTAATTTGCTGCCCAAAGATCTGCATCTGTTTCTTCTTACACATAAGCATTTCTCTTCTTCGTTATCTTCAGTCTGTTTTTCTGGCTACATTCTTTTAAACTGCAATTAGATTTTAAAATGTAAATGATTCCTGTTTCCGATTCTTTTTTAAATTTAAAAAGCAACAACATTTAAACAGATATGCTTTCTATTCAGTGTCTTGAATTCCCAGCACTTTTTCATTGCTTTATTGAGCAAATTGAATTAAAACTGAGTTTGCAACAGCCCATGCCCTCCAGTGCACCATCCTTGCATATGAGCATTTGTAAAGTTGTGTAAATTACTTGGAAGTTTATGTTGGCAGTAATCTGAGCAGCTCTGGGAAGATAAAGATTCAGTACAGTCCGTGCCTAACTCTTGATGCCTTTCCATAGTTACTCAGAATTCTTGCCTATAACATTTGTAATTGTTGTACCCTAACACATTCATCTATAGCCATTAGGTTTGGCATGATTGTACTCAAACATGTGAACAAATTCCTCAGTACAGATTGCTCCTTTCCAACTCATTACTAATCTGTGTGGTTGTGCTAATTTGGTAGAAAAAATATCTGTATTTAAGCTAAGTTGTACTAAACTTTGACTTTCTTTTTTCTTTTCCTATTCTAAAATTACCGGCAACAAGAAGAATGGTCAGCATAAATTTGGATATCTGAAATTGGGCCCAGCTTTGTCTTGCATAATTTAGTCGAAAGAGTATTGGGATTTTTGTTTGTTTGGGTGGAGGGAGAGTTGATTAGGACTCATTTTTTTTAACAGTAATCAGAAGGTAGAATGATGAGAGGCATGAAAACTAAGCTTTGGGGGATTTTGAGAAGTTGTATACTTTAATGAAGCTGACTAAAATTGTATGTTTTCAAGATTATTGGCTGTTATAGCTGCCTCCTAGCCACTGCAAAAAGTTAGCTTTTGACCATTTTGCAGTTCAGTTAGATTCTCTTGCCCAGTTGTAAGAAATTGTATTTTGTTTAAATATACATAAGCTAAATATGTATGATTATTACTTGAGGTGGGGAGTGGGTAATTCTTATTATACATTAGGAGCTTTATTTTTTAAAAAACCCTGGAATAAACATTATTGTATGTTGATTGGCTCATTCATTCTTTAGAACTGCTTGGCAGCATTTTTTTTTAAAAAGGAAACATATAATGGCTAACTTCAAAAGAGGATATTATATTCTTACAGAATATACACAGTTGGAAGAGATCTTGGAGATCTCCTTGATAAGTTTCCATCCACTTCTTGTCTTATCCTCAGGTTCTTTGGAGAATAGGTTGGCCTTCCCTTATCTGTGACAGCCCCTCAAATATTGGAAGACTGCTATCATGTTGCCCTTAGTCTTTTGCTTTCTTTAGACTAGACATATGCAGTTCCTGCAATGTTTAGCCTCTGTTCCCTTATCATCTTTTTCGTTCTTCTCTTTCTCAACATCTTTCTCAACATCTTTTTCTATCATGGTGACCAAAACTGGACATAGTATTCGAAATGTGGTCTTACCAAGGCAGTATAAAGTGGTACTGACACTTCTTGTGACCGTGATACCGTTCCTCTGGTGATGCAGCCTAGGACTGCATTGGCTTTTTTGACAGCTGCAGTACACGGTTGGCTTATATTTAAGTAGTATTCATATTTAGATTCCTCTCATAGTTATTGCTACTGAGATATCTATTTTATACCCGTGCATTTGGTTTTTCTTGCCTAAATGTAAAATCTTACTTTTCTACCACTGAACTGCATTTTGTTGGATAGGGCCCAAAGTTCAAGTCTGTCAAGATCTTTCTGAATCTTGAGCCTATCTTTTAAAGTGTTGGGTGTTCCCCCAGCTTGTATCATCTGCAGATTTGATTAGTGCCCTTCTACCCATTAGGCTAGTTCATTTATGAAGATGTTGAAGAGAGCTGGGCCCAAAACCAGACACTGAGGTTCCCCACTGCTTTTTTCCCTCCATCCATCTGGATGTAGTTTCAGTGAGGGCAGTTGGTCACCCATCCATGAATTCATCTAGTGGAAATGATGCTGTCTGTTTCATATTTTTCTATCTTACCAAGAAGTAGATTGTGCTCTACTTTGTCAAATGCCTTACTGAAGTCCAAGTATACTATGTCCACAGCATTTCACTGGTCCACTAATTTAGTCAATACGTTTGTCTGGCATTATCTGTTTTTGACAAACCCATATTGGCTACCAGTAATAGCTTTGCTTACTATTTGCAGATCTGTGGCTTGATCATCTTTTCCAGGATCTTCCCAGGTATTGATGTCAGACTGATTGGAATGTAGTTTCCTGGATCAATTTTTTGAAGATGGGAACCACATCAGCCCTTTTCCAGTCCTCTGGTAGTTCCCTGGTGCTGCAAGATCTTCAAATGATACCTTTCAGTGATTCTGAGATCATGTCTGTTAGCTCATTCAGAACTCTGGGATGTAATCCATCTGATCCTGCTGATTTGAATTCATCTAGAATGGATAGGTGTCTTACCATTTTCTTGCCTATTTTGATATATTCCTAATTTATCTTTTATGATACCACTTTTGATAAGCTAGATTTTTTTTTGCTTTTCTGTAAAGACAGATGCAAAGAATGAATTAAGCAATTCTGCTTTCTCATTGCTGCCCATCATCTCCTTGACATCTTTTCCCATTAGTTTTTTTTTACATTTTGAAACTTAAAAATTATTTTTGACATTTGTTGCAACTCTTAGTTCATTCTGAGCCTTAGGTTTCCTGACTTCTTTGCAGCTCAAATATGCTGGTATTCTGCCTTAGTTATTTTCCTTTTTTATATTTGTCCTTTTGTTTTTCAGTTTATCAGAATTCTTTACACAACCATGCTGATTTCTCCTGGGATCTCTTATTTTTCTTTTTCAGTGGTAATGTGCTAGACTGGGCTTTTATAATCTCATTTTTCAGAGTTTCTCAAACTTGAGTGATTTTCCCATTCTTTCCCATTGTTTTCTATTCTTTTACCGCCCTATCTTTGTGATGGATATAAAATCCTTCTGAAATATGAGATTTTCTAAGCAGATTATAGGGTGGAAACTTGAATATTACTTTCAGTTTATGCATTGTATCCAGATTTTGAAAATTTATATTCAAATTCCTGTTTAAATGTGATGTTCAGGAATCAAATTCTGGCCTAAACCAATACTATAGGATAGTTGCTGTTCTTGCACTGTGGAATAATGGATTTTTGTGTTGCTTTTCATAGCATCTTAATTAAGGAACAACAATTGCTGAATACTAGTTAAAGACATACAGTATTATCCCTAGAACATGTTTGTCTATGTAGCTGATAAATTGCTGTTATATATCGTAGGGAAGACTGGTAAGTTACTGTTCACTTTTTCTTTAAAGATAAGCTTCTGAGGCACCTCCAAACATAATTAAATTAAAATAATTTCATCTTGAGTAAAAGTACAGATAAATAAAAATATAATTAATATAAAGAGAGATTTCCTGCCTGATTTAAAAAGGAAGAACTCAGAATAGAATGTCTAGTTGGTTTCTGAAACAGAAGATTATCCTTCAGAGTTGTAACTTGTTCTTGAAAGAACCGTCTGTATGATTGGTGTAGCAAGAGAGTTGCTTCCTTAGCTAAGATAAATTTACCTTACTAGTTACTAGTGCCAAATTAGCATAAGTCACATGCTAAATATTTATTGGAAGTCCTTGATGGGAAGAGTTTATTGACATTCTGGAATCAGTGGACTATAAACAGGAATGATCGATGCATATTCTGTGTTCTGAGTTGTGGCTGCTGACTATGGCTACTTTGTATATTATGAATAGCTTTTTTTTTGAAGAGGCAAGGTAAATCATTGTTGCCAATATATTCTGGCTACTGTTTCATTTTTTTCAGAGATTTTGTGTAAAGCTATGTGATAGCTGATTTCAGCTATAATCTTACATTCTCTTGCCTCTGTTTCATACTGTGAAGTTCCACTGCCAATGTTTTGTCTACTGCTTATTCTTGAGAGAATTGTCTATAAGATTAGATAGAATTGTTTCCTTATTCAAGTCAAAATTGTCTTACCAGTTACTAGTGCCAAAACAGTCCAAGTCACATACTGAATATTTATTAGAAGACTGAAGAAAGTTTCCTAAAGTTTTGGAATCATGGATTGTAAGCAGGAAACCAGCTCCTGCTCACTGTTTATTCGTTGCAAAATAGATATTTATTAGTGATTTTTAAGCTGCAAACTGGATACATACATACTCCAACTAGGTTATTCTGTATCTTGTAGATGAGCTGATCTTTCCTATTGCAGAGCTATGGTCATGTCATATATCAAAGTCTACTTCAGAGACCTAGCATTTCTTGTAGTTGACACCAGTATTAAAATTTCTCTAGATTCAGTTTTTCATAAATTCAAATGTTTGCTTCCAATTTAGTCTTATGGGATTATTTTACTTTCTTATTAAACATTGGTTTTAAGTTTTACTGTCACAAACCAGGCTGCTGTGGATTAACAGCTCAAAGAAAGATTAAAGACTGGTATCATCAGTGGACTTCCATTATTTGCCAAGGCCATGGTGCTGTAAGCTGAGGTGCTTTAGTCTTTTCTGTTTGTGTCCTGCTGCAGCTAGGCTAGAATTTTAAAATATTGTATCAAATCTTTCCAAGCAACTCCCTTCTTCTTTTGCTCTTGAAGTTGGCCTGTAATCTGTTCTTTTTCCTCCCTTCTCAACTCCCACTTTTTGATTTCCTCCAGGTTATCCGGCGAGGCTGGCTGACCATCAACAATATTAGCATCATGAAAGGGGGCTCCAAAGAATATTGGTTCATCTTAACTGCAGAGAGTTTGTCTTGGTACAAGGACGAAGAGGTATGTAATACATATCTGCCTCATGTCATGGGATTTTTTTTCAATTGTTATCCTATTCCAGCAGAGTTCTGTTCTGTTCTTCAATTAAAAGAAAGCCAATTTGATTTTTATATAAAACTTAGCTGAATTTATGCATTTTGTATTGCACAACTATATAGTATGTGTTCAAATTTTCAGCTGATAAATATTTTGGAATGGATGCTAGTGTGATACAGGAATTAGATAGTTAGACTATAAGTCTATAAGACTTAAGTTCACTAGATGTCTAGGCCATAATCTCAGTCCAATCTAACTCATATGGCTACTTTGAAAATACCATTGGAGGAGATGATAATATATTAAACTTGTACAGCAAAGGAAAGGTATATTTATATCTAGCTAATATTAATAGAAGTAGCACACTCTGTGAATTATGTCTGTTTGTGTCAGACCTGCCCCAATTTAGGTCTCTAGGAAAGAAAGACCCTCAACTCCATTTGGTTGAAGTGATAGGTTATTTTACTAAAGTTAAGTAGTTGCAGTGAAAGCTAGATCTGAGTATTCCTGTGAAAAGGTTACACTTCTTCTCTGTTCACTGGCCCTCCCCCCTTGACCAGTTCATCTGTGTCCAATAGCATGCCGTTTTGATGCTTTGGGAACTGCTTTGATACTTGGTGCCTCGCATTGCCATTTTGCATTCTTCTCCCAGGCCAGGTGTCCTTGGCGGCTGGCTTATTCTGGTTTGGCACTGGCAAAGAAGCTGAAGATGGTAGACCTGATGTTTTATGCCATTATGAATTCAGTTTTGGAAGATCTCACTTTAAAAGTAACTGTAGGTAGTCCTTGACTTACAATGGTTTATTAAGTATCCATTCAAAGTTACAACGGCACTGAAAAAAGTGACTTATGACCAATTTTCACACTTATAACCGTTGCAGCATCCCTGTGATCACGTGATTTACATTTATGTAAATTTATGATGGTTGCAGTGTCCTGAAGTCATATGATCCCCTTTTGTGACCTTTGACAAGCAAAGTGAGTGGGGAAACCAGATTCACTTAACAGCCGTGTTGCTGAACTGCAATGATTCACTTAACAAATGTGGTGGAAAAAGTCATAAAATGGGGCAAAATTTATCACTTAGCAAATTTTGGGCTCAATTGTGGTTGTAAGTTGAGGACTACCTGTATATCTGATTTTTCCAATATTCCAAGCCTTAGCATGATGATGGAATACATATAATTTAATAATAACTGAGCCTCTCTTAGTAAACTTTTACCAGTCAAGATATTATTTGAGCCCATTTTAGTTCAGAGCTCCTTTTCTCACAGTAATCAGCCAGGAGCCCCTGAAGTATTTTTGAGCAGGAAGTAGACACAGCCCTACCCTGTTATTCCGTTGCAAATAGTATGTGGGAGCACTCTAACTCCAATCTGTAATCTTCAAAACTAAGCATTCACTGAATCTTCAAACCTTAGTGGATTTGTCATCCATAACTTTAGAAAAGATGGGAGGAGAGTATTTGGAAGACAGTGTCTTATAAAAGTGATACTGTTTGTTCAAGTTCATTCTGCAGTAAATGCCTCTCAGATTCCTTTGAGTTGTGATTTTATTTTGTAAGCTCCTTTGAAGGTTTTTTCCTTCTAAAATGACCTGGAAATGGGTTAACAAATTTTGAAGCTTATTTTAAATATTAAGTGTGCCATCAAAATCAGGGCTGTTTTTATTTTTTGTTTTATTGCAGGGGGATTGCTGCTAATAGTGTCAACTATTTTTATTTTGTTTTGTTTTTCTAATTTACAATGGTAAGTTAGAAAACAAAAAGGGTCTTGGTAAAATAGTTCAGTGAATAAAAGAGGCAGATCATAAAAGATCTTAAACATATCATAATACTTAAAAATAAAATTAATCTGAAAGCATGCGTAAAAGCAAAAATATTTGCTTTATTAAAGTAACAATTACATAAATGCTAAATAAGCAAAGTTTTGAAATGTGGCTATTGCTATGCTGAATGAAATTGCTGAAATAACTAGAGTTTTTTTCTTGTCTTCATCTCTATATACACATACATACACCAATAGGCTATCATCCTATTACCAGTGTCTCTAGATCTCATTTTAGAGAACATTTTATGTGAGAATTCTCAATTTTCAGATGTATATTATAAAGATTTTCCACTGAGAAAGTATTAGCTGGAGTTTACAGTGTCTTAAAGCTCTAAATTGGAAGTTTGAAGAGTTTTGCTTAATGCTTAACTTTTATACATTATTGCATTAAAAATGTAGAAAAATTGAAATATTTATCTCCCCTGATAGTTGAGCTGCTATTGAGTGATTCCGGTTAAGTTGCAATAATTTTATCACAGACAAGGACTGATGTAAGTCAGAGTATTTCCCCTAAAAGAGAACATAATTATGACAACTTAAATTGTGAATGGTTTAGCAAGTCAGAACTGAATCAGAAATACATGTCTAATTAATTTCTGAGATTTACAGTCATGTGAAAAAGGGAGTACACCCTCTTTGAGTTCTATGTTTTACTTATCAGGACATAGTAGAAGTCATGTGGTCCTTAGCAATTCTTAAAAGTAGGTAAAAAAAACATTGTTCCAAAAGTCAAGTGATTTTTTCAAGATGCAACTTTGCAAATTTAAGTGTATTGCCCTGTTCTCTAAGATCATTGCTGATGTCTTTACTGTTTGGCATTGTGTACCTCAATGCTGGACACCAGGAGACATCTAAAACTTTGACTTTTATAGAGGTAGTCACACTTGCTGATGATCAATTGATCCAAGGCACTTGATTAGTAGCACCTGGTTGCTACTTAACTTCTTTATACCTATGGAAGCAGCAAGGGTGTACTTAGTTTTTCACACTAAGTACACCCTTCTCCATTTTGGCTTTCTTTTTGTAAAATAATGACATGGTGTAATATGTTGTGTGTTGTTTTTCATCTCAGCTTGTATTTACCTACTTTTAAGAAGTGCTAAGGACCAGATGATTTTTACTATCTCCTATTTTGATATGTAAAACCATAGAACTCAAAGAGGGTCTACTTTCTTTTTCACATGATTGTATGTTATGTTCTCTTATTTGAAAATTGTGGAGTGAAAGAAAGAAGCATACTGTAATGACATTCCTTGCGTGTGTGTATGCCATGCATAATCTTATCTTGCTCTTTGCCTAGTGGCTGTTTCATGATTAAAACAAGGAAGTCATGGAAAAGAATGCAGCATATTGTCTGTCAGATGGGCTCTCTCTCTCTCTCTCTCTCTCTCTCTCTCTCTCTCTCTCTCTCTCTCTCTCTCTCTCTCTCTCTCTCTCTCTCTCTCTCTCACACACACACACACACACACACACACACACACGAGCTCCCAGGTACATTTGGAGCCAGATTCAGGTAAGAAATAATATCAGTGGAAAAGTATGTGAAGCAACAGTCAGTGTGCTGTGTGTGGTGTGGTTTAATAAAGGAATGAATACTTTAGTGTATAGCTGAGCTACTGTAGTGGCCAGCAAGACTGTAAACTAGATTGGGGACTTGGGGAAAAAATAAGGGCAAATCATGTCCATATTGTTGACAATGAAAGCTACATGGTCATGATCATTTTGCCATTAAGAGCTGACCTTAACTAAAGTGAGTCTACAGACAGAAGGAGCCCAAATATGAACAAACATATCATTAACAGTCATTATTTAAATTATGATTATGAGGGTTAATCATATTAATCTGTACAGTAGATCACTCCTCTGCTTGCAAATAATTCTTTCTTTCTTTCTTTCTTTCTTTCTTTCTTTCTTTCTTTCTTTCTTTCTCTATATGTAGTAAATGTATATGATACACATCTCACTCAAGCAATTCTGGTGGCTTATAATATCATAAAACAATGTGAAACAATAAAAATATCAAAACATTAAGATTAAAATAAGAACATTAAAAATTAACAAAAATTGGATAAAAAAGACCGATACTAATGCTGTACTATTGGGTTTGCACCTACACTTATTTTTGTTGTTTTAGTCCCACTCCCTCTTCTTCTTCCTCTGCAGGTTGAGGGAACTTTGGAGATGGGCTCAGTGGTATGTCAATCACATGCTTGAAAATTCTAAATTTTTAATTTCAATTGCCAGCCTCCAGCCTCTGAAACTTAAGGTATATTTGGCAAATTTAATGCATGTTTAACCAAACATATAACCAGCAAAATGGGCCTTAACTTTGTCCTTTTGCTTGCTGAATTGCGTTCCCCAATATAAAAATATCTGTCCCATATAGGTGACTATTTTATATCTATATTTATATCTTCCTTGTATCCTTTCCTCTTCTTCTTCAGCAGCCCATAGCTAATGGTGTCTGTTCTTTATATATTGCCAACCATGCTTGAGCGTAATTGTTTGTTTTGTATTGGGATTGCTCTTTTGAGTATAGATTGCCTGCTTTTGATGATGACATGCCCTTTTGGAAGCAGGCATGTGCTTAAATTGGATCTTCTCAAAATCTGCTTATGTTGCTAATCTGTTCTTGTTTTCCTCAACCTGCTCCTCTGTTGTAGCTGTTGTGGAACTCAGGTGCCTACAGCACCCTCCATCCCTTTTTTGTTTTCAAATATCTGAAACCAATTTATAACACCAACTAGCACCTTGCTGATCTTGACTGATGTCAGAAAAGCTGAGAATGATTGGATGTAGATAGGTAGGAGACTGACAAGAACTCTCTGAGCCACAGGCTGGATTTAGAAATTGAAAATATAGTAGAAGATAGCATTGCTTCATATTATGGCAAAGAAAAATTGCTAGGACTATGAACTGAAACCATTTGTTTAGCAATTATTTAAAGGTACAATGGCACTGAAAAAAATGATTTACAACCAATCCTTGAACTTATGACTATTGCCATATCCCCACAGTCACATGATCAAAGTTCAGACCCTTGGCAATCAGCATATAGTTACAATAGTTGCAACAACCTGGGGTCATGTGATCACATTTGCAACCTTCCCAACCAGCTCCCAACAAGGGGAAGCCAATTTGTTTATTTGATTCACTTAGCAACTGTAGTAATTTGCTTAACAACTATGGCAAAAAGGTTGCAAAATTGGACATGACTCACTTAACCATCTTGTTTAGCAATGAAAATTTTGGTCCAACAGTGGTTGTAACTCAAGGAAAGTACAATCAGTGAAGTTGGCCCTGTGGTGTCTGAGCTTCAGTGTTCCTTCAACCTGCAGAGGAAGAGATAGAGCTGAAAACAGAAAGTTGGATGCATGGCAGCACATTCTAATTATGACTGTGGGAGATATGTTCAACTTTTATTGACAATGTAGAGTACCTTAACTTACCATTTATCTGGGTTTTGTTGCGTGGTTTATTTTATATGCATTTTTTCTCTCAAATTGATTTTTTAAAATATTCTAGAATATTAAAAAGATGTAGTTTGACTGTTTAGGCTGCTCAAATGTTGCTATATCATATACTGTAGAATATATAATTTTTGCCTATTTGAAATTGCCACTGAAAATCTGAAAGTTTCATTTACATATTATACAAAATAAGTATTCTAGAAAAAGCATTTCTTAAAATTTGTGTCCTGCCTCTTCCAATTGAACAAGTTTCTTTTATAGTACACAGTAAATATTACTAACTTCAGCCATACACCAAGATTTCTGAAAAGAGGTGACCCTGAACCAAAGAAACAAGAAGATACAGCAGTAGAAGAGTGGCTAAACAAAGAGAGGAGAAAGAAATTAAAGTACATATACAGAAGAAGGAGCAAGACCAAGAGACCAGAGACAGATAAGATCGACTAGAAGACTAACTGAAAAAGATGGAGGAGAGTGGGATTTTGTTAATGGACTACATTCTCCTTCAAAAAGGAGAAAAATCTTTTCACGACTACAAAAGTTAAAAATGGATATAATTTGTCTTCAAGAAACACATATTAAGAAACAACATTACAAATTGTTAGAACAACCGAAAATTGGCAAACTTTACTTCACATTAGCATCTCAAAAGAAAAGAGGAATAGCTTTATATATTAAAGAAAAGATGAACTCCAAACAAATTTATGCAGATGAAGAGGGGAGAATATTAATGGTGGAAATAATGATGGATCAAAAACAGATACTGATGGTAACAAGAACAATTTTTTATCAAAAACTATATTAAAAATACTAGATTTAAACCAGGGGTGTCAAACTGCCGGCCCGCAGGCTGGATGCGTCCACCCTATTGCCAGCAATGGTAAAACTGTCCCGATACGTTGCACGACATCACGTGATGTCGTGAGTTTGACATGTCTGATTTAAACTATAAAGATCTTTGTATAATGGGAGATTTTAATGCAATAGTAGATGGAACTTTGGACTATAAAAGCACCAAACTGGCAATTTATGTTTCAACAGCTGATGGAAATAGACTTTGGCAAAAACTTCACAAATGCAATTCAAGCAATTTATAATAAACAAACAGCAAGGATATTGTAAAATGGAGATTATACAGAAAGTTTTGACATCAAAAAAGGCATAAGATGGATGTCCACTATCTCCTCTGTTATTTATTCTTACACTGGAAGTCTTGGCTAGAAACATTAGGCAGGATACAGAAATTAAAGGGCTGGAAATAAAAGAACAGAAGTACAAACTACAGGCATTCACAGATGATTTGGTTTTTTATCTTGGAGGAGCCATTAGAAACAGCTAATAAATTTCTACAGAAAATAGAGAAATTTGGAGAAGTGGCCGGCCTGAAAATAAATAGGGAAAAGACTAAGGTATTAACAAAAAACTTAACAGATAAACAGAAAACCCAATTTGTAAAAAAGACAAATCTTCAAATAGCTAAAAAAGTTAAATATACAACACTAAAAGAAGATAATTATGAAAGACGACTGAAACAAATAAAAGTAGACTTGGAAAAGTGGAAAAATCTTTAATTGTTATTGTTAGGAAGAATAGCGACTGTGAAGATGAATATCTTACCGAAACTACTCTTCCTATTTCAAACAGCTCCTGTAAAACTGGGCAAGAAATTTTTTGACGATTTAAATGTAACAATATTGAGATTTATATGGCAAGGGAAGAAAGCACGAATCAAAACTAAAATGTTACAAGAATGGGGTTTTGGACTTTCGGATTGGAGACTTTATTACCAAGCAGCTATCCTACTTTGACTCAAAGAATGGATTACGTTGAAAAATAAAAGACTTCTTTATCTAGAGCAGCGGTTCTCAACCTATGGGTCGCGACCCCATTTGGGGTCGATCGACCATTTCATAGGGGTCGCCAAGCAAGGCTGTCCGCCATTTTTCCCCCTTTTCTGGCGGGTGCCTTACCTCCCTTGGGCTGGGCTAGCTGGTGGCCCAGCCGGTGGTCGGCCTGCTCCGTCTCTGCCACTTGCCAGCTATGCCTCAGCCGGCACAGGGGGCGGCACCACGCATGCGTGGCGCTCCCGGGCAGGGAAAGTACTCGACTTACGACCGGTTGGGTAGTCCTCGACTTACAACTGGTTTAGTCCTCGACTTACGACCGGTTTAGTCCTCGACTTACGACCGGTTGGGAGTCACGGCATTAAAAAGGTTGAGACCACTGATCTAGAGGGACATGACTTACAATTGGGTTGGCCTGCATTCCTGTGGTACGGGAAAAACAAAGTATACAAATACTTTCAAAACCACGCTATAAGGAATGTACTGCTTAAAGAGTGGGAGAGAATTAAACATAAAATTTATACTAAATTACCTGAATGGCTTTCAACAATGGAAGTGTTCGCTTACCCAAATTTAATTAACTGTGATAAACTTGTTACTTATAAAAACATTTTGGACAAGGATAGAAAACTTAAAGACAGGCAAGTTCTTTAACAACAAGGCATTGACTTAACATGGTGGTCGTATTTGCAAATTCAAACAAGATATGAAAAAGATGTAAAATCAATGGGATTTTACAAAGAACAGATACAATTCGATAAAATACTTTTGAAAACAGATGAAAATTTGATTAAGAAACTATAAATTTCTTCTAAACTGGAAGATAGAAGAAGAACAAGTAAAAGAAACAATGATAGTGTGGGCAAAATTTTTTGGATAGTCTATAGATTTAGAAGATTGGCAAAAGCTTTGGGACAGAAATATTAAACTTACTAAAGCAGTTTCATACAAATAAAATGTATATAAAATGTTTTATAGATGGCATATGACACCAGTTAGACTAGCGAAAATGTTTAAAAATATATCAAATAATTGCTGGAAATGTAAACAAAAACGAGGCACTTACTATCATGTCTGGTGGGTATGCCCTTGTGAAAAGAAATTTTGGTTTAAGATTCATATATGGTTGGAAAAGATGACCAAAATACAGATAGAATTTAAATCAGAATTGTTCTTGCTAGGAATATTTGGACTTAATTATGGAAAAGAGAATGAATATTTAATATTACATGTACTGACAGCCACGAGAATAGCATTTGCCCAATTTTGGAAAAATGAAAACTTACCATCTGACCAAATTATACCGTATATTCCAGCGTATAGGGTGACCTGGCATATAAGACAACCTCCGAGTTCGACGCTGAGTCGCAAGACGATCAACGCCGAGTCGCAAGACGATCGACGCCAAGTCGCATGCCTAGAAAGTCGTCTTATATGCCGGAAACTACCGGTATTTCTGGCGTATAAGACGATCGACAACGAGTCGCATGCCTAGAAAGTCGTCTTATACGCCGGAAACTATGTTATTTCCGGCCTATAAGACGATCGACGCCGAGTTGCATGCCTAGAAAATCGTCTTATACACCAGAAACTATCTTATTTCCGGCGTATAAGACGACTCGGCGTATAAGACGACCCCCGAGTTCAGCGCCTGTTTCAACGCTCTCAAAAGTCGTCTTATATGCCGGAATATAAGGTAATTACAAAAATCTTAGAAAGTGCAGAAATGGATAGACTAATGTTAGAGTTTAAAGAGAAAAAAGACTCAGTTTACTTTAAAATATGGGAAAAAAATTATCAATGGTTAACAATACAATCTAGCGAGAAAGGAATGTGAAACTTAACAGGCTGAATGAGATTTATAGATTAACTATTACTT